CCAAAGGAATTGAAGGAAGAATGGGGGTGACTATGATCAAAGTAAGCTGTATGCATGGATGAAATTCTCAATGGGTTAATTAAAATATACCAAAATTTTAACATTCTATACTGGAAAACCTAATGAAATTAAGGTGTTTTAGTTAGGGTTTTTTTTGTTGTTGTTGTTTTTTGTTTTTTATGGTGAAGAGACACCATGACCACAGGAACTCTTATAAAGGAAAAACATTTAATTGGGGTGGCTTACATTTTCAGAGGATTAGTCTATTATCATCATGGTGGGGTGACATGGGCTGGGAATATGGTGGCCTGGAGGCAGGCATGATGCTGGAGAAGGAGCTGAGAGTTCTTATATCTTGGCTTACAGGTAATAGGAAGTGATCTGTCTCACTGGGCATGGCTTGAACATATATGAGACCTCAAAGCCCGCCTCCACAGTGACACACTTCCTCCAACAAGACCACACCTACTCCAACACGGCCATACCTCCTAGTAGCACCACTCCCTTTTGGGGGGCCATTTTCTTTCAAACCACCACATAGGGAAAATGTATTTTGGACAAATTTGGTTTGAAAAATGAAGAAATAACCTTTAAACCATCACTGCTGTGGAGTGACTTTTTCTTGGTCCAAAATCGACAAATTACAAATTTAAAACCTCACTCGGTAAATCGATTGACTTATAGAATTCCTGATGCTTCACAGCCATTCAAGAAAACAATGATTTAAAATTCAGAGTCCAACTATGCAGCACCTATCCAGACATCTTGCTGACTGAGAGATACATATGCCTTTGCTGATGCTCTAAGAAGATGAAAAACTGTGTGTTTGTCCTTGGCCAGTTATAGAAGCCTATGCATGGGAAAACGAAATGACTAAGTCATCTTCTCCAAGACAATTGTATCACAGAGCTGAACGTGCGTGGTTGCTCTCTGTTGTCACCAACTTTACCTCTGCTGAAGTCGCTCTCATCTCACCACTGTCCTCAGAGGGAGAAGAAAGAATACATTCATGTACAAATGTAGGACCTGAAAATAACAAACCTTTTATTTTTCTGAATTCAGAGTGTTCATCTCTCCTTAGCAATTACACAGATCACTACCATGGAAAACATACCAAAAAAAAAAATCTGGAAACCCACCTAAGCATAATTACTCTCCATATTTACCCAGATCCCTTCCGAGGAGCCTATACCCCAGTCTTAATTCAGAGCTAATAGAGGTCAGAGGAAGGGTTAATAGCCTGCAGTTCAACATTCATTAAGTCATTCTCTGATCATTAAAACATCCTAAAACAGCTTTGCCTTGAAGTTTTAATAGCAATATATGGAGACTTGCTGTTCTCAAACACTAATAATGTTCTTTTATGACACTAAGGAAGCTTGTGCACCCAAAAACTAACATTAATCTTGATGAACTCTCAGTGTGAATTTAAATCTATGACATTTTGTGCTGTGGGATGTTCTCTATGCTGTGAATGTGTTGCTCTGATCGGTTAATAAATAAAGTGCTGATTGTCCAGTAGCCTAGCAGGAAGTATAGGCAGGAAAAAAAAAAAAGAAAAGTCCGGGAAAGGAAAAACCGAAGCAAGAAAACAAGCCAACCGCCACCAAGAAAAAAAAAAAGGAAAGAAACCGAAAACCAAAAACCAACGGGCAAACTGGAAAATAAAAAAAAAGGGGTAAATTAAAAAGGAAAGAACTAGGTAACAAGGAGACTGCCACAGCCATACAGTTTATAAGCAATACAAGTCTCTGTATATTTAATTGGGTCTGAGAAGCTGTGGGAGCCAGGTGGACACAGGAATACTCCAGCTACAATTTTGTCCATCAGAACTCTCATGGTCATCAAAAAATAACACTTAGTGTCAGTCTTTGGGATCAGTCAGTCCACTGGGTGTTGCTAGAGCTTGCCCTGGGGCTGCTAGGGAGATTCCTCTGACCAACATTATCCCAGTCTGCTCAGCTAACATTGACTAAAAACCTATAGTGGGATGTTCCTGAGCTGGAGCATGATAACGAATAAAGTATATATGCCTGCACAGAACCTATATTCTAACCACTTGGGAGATCCCTGGCCCACAGAAGATAAACTATCTAGTAGATAGTAAAAGGAGTCACATGCTAGTGTAAGTCGCTAAAACATTTATGTGTATAAACACATAAAATTTTAGAAGTATAAAATAGTGCTTTCAATTATCTTTTAAAAAGCATTCTCTGGTTCCCAATATTATAGAAGATCTATTTACTCTGGTTATCAGTTGACCATCCACTATCACCAACCATACTAACTGTGGTAACCTACCTTTGCCTAAAGTTATGACAATGACCTAAGCAAACAATATAATGATGGATGGCTAGGTCCACAGTAGTGATAATGAAACTGTAGACATTGTCATTAAATTTTCACATTAGATTCTAGATTCTAGACACCCTTCTGTCTCACAGCTGACTATGATATTGAGGATGCTAGCACATATGGGAGCTGGTAGACTGACTGAAAATAAGAACTCTACATCTTGCCCAACATAGAGGGTTAGGACATGTAATTAATTAGCTGTCTATGAGTAACCCTGAAAATAATACCAGTAAACTCAATATTTCACCAAGCTGGACTTAGATAAACTCTTTTCTTTGGTCTGGTGGTCCATATGAATAGATATGCCTTTTTATCAATCTAGAAAAACAAATGCAACATGAGACATGCATATTGCTAATTACAGCATTTAACAAATATATCAGGTAGAATGACTGTAACAGCCACCATCTTTATCAGTATAAGTATGGCTACTTGGAAGAGATCTTCAAATCAGGGTGATTGACTATTGATGTTCCCTTATAGAAAGAGATGTGGAAGAACATTGGACCCTCCTGTAACTCTCTGCCAGCTATATGTGATTCTGTCTCAGTTGCATGTGTTCTCAGGACCTCAGGAAGTACTATAGTTACATAGACTCTGTAAAGTTAAACAATTGGGAGATTCCATCAAATCAGTGATGAGGAAGTCATCATCTATGCTGGGTGAAATTTTCCAATAGTATGGCTGCTTTGGAGTTATCCATGATCGTGTAAGTTACCCCTCACCCATGGTCTGTAAGTAAATCAAGTAAACTAACTCATTAATTCTCCAAGTTCGACTTTGGTGGAATTGCACTTTGGTCTGTCATTGGTACACTATCTGGGGTAAAGGGTGGGATAGAAAGGAGTTATTTGTCTGTGTATTCCAGGAGAAAGTTCAGGCAACAAGGGCTGCAGGTATATTTGGAGGGCTGGAGAATGAGCTGCAGCTTGAGAGCCATGCCTTTCAGTTGGAAGAAGTTAACATTATTTCCCCCTTAGGTTCCTTCTGTACTTACAAAATGAACAAGTATCAAGAAAGATTATAATGATTGGAAATGTTAAATATTTATACTTCCTGATTCAACATAAACCTATTTATCATAATTATAGAGGTTACTTTAGTCAGATATTTTAGAGTTAAGGCAAGAAATCTAAATTTGGGGTCTTTCATCATGTGAAATGATTGCCTCCAAAATTCTTATGCATGTGCATACACAGACGCTGTCTGGTGTCCACACCACATCCCTGTAAGCAGCTGCCTTTGAAGGAAAAGGATAGGGGATGCCATGATTAAAAAAAAAAAAAATTCTGCAAGTCCTAGGGAAGAAGTGAAGCAGGGTAGCAACATCCTCTCATTTTCAGTTTATGAAACGTGGGGAATGAGTTAAAGGGACAGGGGACTGGAGGCAGGAAGCAGATGGGAGCTGTTTGTTGTGTGGTACATGTGAGAAATGGGGCTGCCCTGACATGAGACTTAAATTAAAGAAGCATTAGGAATGTGGCATCTGCAAAGTCTGATGACTGAACACATGAGGGAGTGAAAGAAAGAGAGGAATCTACACGTCAGTCAAAATAGTCAAGCTATTCCCAGCCTGTAAACACTGGAGTGTGTCTATTCCATCTTCAATTCCTTTGATGCTTTTATGTCTGTTTAGTTCTCTGACTTACAATCATTTAAAATTGTAACTAAGCGTTTCCTATTCAAAATAATTTTCAAGGAAGTATTGACAAAAGGGATTTTCTTTTCTTCTTTTTAACTCATACTTTCTTCCAGAGATCTCCATCTGACCGGCATTGCTATGAAGCTCCCTCTGCAAGGAGTGTGTTGATATTTGTAATCTAGTTATAAAAATGTTAGCCTTCACCTGTATTAATAAGCATCAATTCAGGTATGGTCCAAGGACACCATATTCAAAGGAAATATTGAAATAAATTGTAACACATAGATGACATATTTGTAAGTGTTGTTCAAAACTCAATACCTAGTATTTAAGAAACACTAATTTTGGTCTTTTAATATTCACTAATCTTTGTATCTTTATTTTATTTGAAAATTAAATTTCTATGAAGGGTAACAGTATGCCATTTTGTAGTAAATGTCTTTAGGGAAAGGTCACACTCTTCCATAGAGATATGTCAAGGCTAATGGACATATTCAAAGGTTAAATTTCAGGGCCCTGCACCAAGTTTGATTCATGCTGTTTTATAATTGCATGCCTGTGGCTACCTCAGTTGGTTAGCACACCATACTAATGAGGCCAGTGGCAAAAGTTCAAATCCCTAGGCAAGCAATTTGTTTTTCTCTGCTTGTGGTCATGACTATAACACTTATCCCAAGTCAGGCATCGGAAATGTGTGTCCATCGTCATAATGTCAAGGGAGAGTACAAATGCCCAAATGAAAATCTGTCCTTTTTATTAGAAAATGCTGCAAAATATACATGCAAATTATTTGGGGACAGTGGTGTCACCTTCAAATAAAGAGTAGAGCATTCCTCACAGTACTGCAACAAAGTTTTTGCCAGCAGCAAGTCATAAATGTCATCAAGAATGATGATCTTAAATTAGATTCCCCATGAATAATTTCATCATTTTTCATCTTGGACCAAACAACACTAAATTTACCATTAAGTAAAAACTATGCGAAGTACACATTTACCTGCTTCCTTCCTGTCTCCCACTGCTGTTATGGGGATGAGTCAGACAGTGTCTTGGAGGCATTTTAAAATGATAAAATATTAATCCCTCTTGTCCTCTTCGGGCTCAGCAGGGCAGTAGATATATTGAGTTTTCACAAGCTGAAAGCCATGGCTGGTATGCAATTCAGTCTTGAACAACAGTCAATTCAAAAAATGAAAGCAGAATTTCAAGCCTGAAATTGAATGAAATAGTTGAAAGAAAGTGTTTAGAGGGAGCTAAATGACCAAGTGGCAGCATGAAGTACATGGAACATTAGTAGTTCCAGTATAACCATCCCTATATGCTCAGCTTACCAATGTTCACTGCTAAATTGGGCTTTCGGAGTGATCATCATAGGAAGAAACTCATCCAAGAGTTTTAATGGCTTTATGAACAAAAACTTTCCTTGGAACACAGCTTCATCTGTGATGTTGAGACTGATGTCCTTCAAGAGGTATCTGCAGAGGTGGGGCTTTAGATAAAGAAAAAGGATCAGAAAAAAAAAAAAGAATTGCACAGTGTAGGGTCTGGCCATGTTTGTAGTTGACTCAACCCAGAAACCACAATTCAAGAACCCTCTCTATAGCAATAAATGTATGTCCCCCCATTTCCTTGTATCCTTGTCAACATCTGTTGTCATTTGTTTTATTAATCTTGATCATTCTGTCTGTGGTAAAATGAAATCTCAACGTAGTTTTAATTCACATTTTCAGGATGGCCAAGGATGCTGAACATACTTTAAAATGTTTCTCGTTTGTACATCATCTTCTGAGAACTCTATGTTTGGTCCCCTTTCTGCCTCTGCCCTGTCAATACAAAGGCAAATCTGGGAATGGAGCAAGACAAGGGGAACACACACAGAGTACTAAAGAGGAAATGACTTAAATTATCTAGACAGATTTCAACTAGGACTGACAAGACACTCTTCGTTACTGCTGTGGCAAAATATTGAAATAACTCACTCAAGATTCGTGAAGTTTTTATTCTTGGGGCATTTTCTATAAAGGCTAATAGAAAAAGTTTTACAAGGTTCTCCATTTTTCCATCCATCCATCAATCCATATTTCTTTGAAATGAATAACTGATTACAGAATACCTGATTGTTTAAATATATACAAAGAATTTCCTCTTCCAGAGGTCAGGGATCATAACCAGATAGTCTCCTTAGGTTTGCGACATTTCTCAAATGTGAGGAAATATTCATGAATATGGAGAAAATTAGTAAGAAAAGATCATCCAGAAAATCATTTTTCAAACATAGAGGCTAATCTTATTGCTAACTATCATAGTTGGCTCTTTATGATGATTATTTCTGAGAAACAAATATAGGGTCAGTCTATTTACTTCATGGGGAAAATGACCTCCAGGTATAGTAAACTTTCTATTGCCAAAGTAGTACAAAATTAGATGACCATCTGCCAGATACTAGCTAATATTTTCATTGAGTAAAATATTTTTAAAGGCACCTGCTATGAACACTAAATAATTAACCTACTTTATGAGTATCAAACTTACTTGGAGACATCTTAAAAGACAATGAATCAGGGCTACTTCTATGAATACACACACACACACACACACACACACACACACACACACACACCATGGAGTATCTGTGAGCTCAATTCTAAAGTACTGCTTTGGTTTCTATTTGCAAAACTATAGAGTCTTACCTCTTAAAAAGAACATGGAGAATAGGAACTGGACTTGGGCTGCAGCCACCTATAACATAGGCAACAACAAATGAGAACAGGATGGGGAAAGGCATCAGTAGCCTCTTGCTATGTCAATACTGTTCTTTATTGGCTATATCTAGGGACACTCAGAGATGCTGGAGAGGAGAGCCAAGAAAACAAAACAGGGCAGTTCACAGCACCTTAGAGCCATGGCTCTTTATCAGCTGGATCATAACTATATTTTTATTTTAACAAGAAGTACTGTCATGTTCAGTGACTTTGGGTTGCCTGTCTGTCTTGGCCACAATATGTGTGCCCACACTCTTCTGTGACCTGTGCAGTAATTATCTTTCCTGAAAGCACATTTGAAAGAAAGGACAAGAGAAAGGCTACCTACTTTGACAAATATGCTTTCTTCACTGTGACACAAGTAATGTTTCAATTTTTTTTGAAAGACCAGTGTAAATCCATAATACCTCCAAAAGTCAAGAAAGAATAAAATTCTATGGAGCCATCACTATATCAGATGAAAACAAGAACACTTGAGAATGAGATGATGCTGAGAATTTGTATGAAGCTGATAAGTGGATGCCTGGTAAACATATTTATCACTTTAATTTCATCCATTCATCCATCGCTTCAAAGTGTACGGAGCTTTTGCTGTTTAACCTTTTATGGACCGTAGGAAGTCTTCTATAGGTACAGAGTGCCTATTGAAGTCTGCTTTATTCCTACCATCACTTGATCCTTTCTCAAAGCAATTAGCTTAGCATAAACCTCTGTAGAACTAATCATATGTATAACA